TCCCTCATTTGATGCGCCTATGTGGGTGTAAAACATGATCCAGGGCCCTAAAGAAGATACCTCGAGAGGAGAGGGCGAAAGTGGCGTAAACATCGCAATTACCTCCCGACTCTTGCTCAACCTGCTATCAACACAAGCAAGTAGGGGTCGGCAATGATTTCTTTTCTTCACTCCTTGAATCCACTTTGAGGAGATCCAAATACCCTTCTCTCTCACATGTTGGAGTGGGGCAGAGAAAACTGACCCCCTTTTGCTTCCCAAAATACGAAGCGGTGCAAAGGCGGAGTTAGCAACTAAACCATGTACCGTTGAGAAGAAAGTATCCATATGCTTTCACTCGTGGGGTTACATTGTACATAGAACTCGGGAAAAGTGAAGAATTGTGACTGCTTCCCTTTTCAACAAAACACTGTTACATATCAGGTGGCGTGGGTAGGCAAGTGGGTCAATGCAGTGCACCCGCCAACTTAAATAGGGCTGCATTCGAGCTGCCGCATTCCACTTGCTCACATGGACTACAAACAGATTAGCCTGCTCTGTTTCTTCTTCAGTGTGACTATTGCGTGCATGTCGAAGGAAGAGGAAGTTGACGTAGAGTTGTCTGCATTTGGCAGCACAGCAGGTAACACCATACTGCATGCTTGCTTCCATCCTCGTATTAATGCATCATGACAAGTCGTCTTTCCTCCTCCTTTGAAGACAAGTGTCCAGAGGTGGTTGATGCAACCAAGGAGATGCCGACAATCGTCAATCACTTGGTGAGGAAGGTTTGCAATGGCATGATCTTTACACTGCGTGGTATGGGACAGAAAGCGCGTGGCGAGTGTGGCAAGGCATTCTTGCAATCGCAGTGCAGCCCATCAAAGAACTCCTCCACTCAATTTGAATGCTCTGTCGTAGCGCATCACTTGCGCTTTGACTGTGCAAGTCACACAGGTCCACTGTCCGCGTAAGGTTCTCTTCTCTACTCTTCCTCCCCAACCTTCTTTCCCTAATTGCCATGTGGAGGACAAGCATTTATTTCAGATGGCTATTCCTAGCTTTGTCCATTTCTTCTGTTGTAGTGAGGCTGCAAAGCTGATCAACGATCACTATGTAGACAAAGTGGTGGTGGACATTGTAGTGGAGCAGCAGGAGGAGGGAATGATTCGTGTTGCCGATGTGACGGCATTCGAGGCGGATGTGAGTGGGATGAGGGGCATCCCTGGACTCAGTGAAACCGCTCTTCAGAAAGCCATATTCGCTGGTCTGAAGGCGGCTGCTGGGAGATTATCGTGCAGTCTGACATGATGCTTGGGACTGTTGCTTAGTACAAGGCAATAAAGGTTGGAGGATACACATGGTATCCGCTTTCCCCTTCTTCCGCATCGTTTGGTGGAAGTGGAATGGGAGTGAGGGTAACATGCTTTAGTGAGTCACTGAGTCACCATTCAACACTTTCTTATGATGGGCAGTAGAGCAGCATCCTTTGCAATGCATAGAGAACAAAGGTGTTTCGTTCGCGCTCTGCAGTTACTTGCTAAGGTCAGTGGCGGCCTCTATTCCTCCACTGCTGAATAGCTCACCAATTCATATCAGGGAAGACAGACCGTGCTATGTGTACACCTCATGGACTGCAAATGCAATTGCTTATTCTAGTGTAGCGAAGCATTCATGTCTGTATTTACCACACATCTCTATCATTTGCTTGTTTCTGTGTAAGTGTGAGGCTAGAACGTTTCGTGGAACCTTTAGCAGTTGTCATTCATCAGTCAATCAATCAAGCAAGTAAACAGTCAATGGAAAACCCCACACCTCTTACGTTACCGAACTTTAGTGCGAAAAGCGAAACATTGCACTGTCTCCTCCAACTCATTCCGCTAATCCTGATTGATGAGGTAACATTTCACCTCCGCCTGATATCAGTGAACACAATCACATGTAAGATGTGCTTGGAAAGTGGTCTAGTAGCACTGGCATTTTCGCCCTGCATGACACGATATCTCCCACTAGGAATGAATGGAAGCTTGTAGCGGAGATTGATATG